TCTGAGCACACAGACTGTGATGGAGTTCCTGTGGGCCCAGAAGGTAGGTGGGAGTGTGGGATGGCCGCACCTCCATTCCCCAAGGGGGTATGGGGTATAAGAGTAACAAGAGGAATGGCATACCTTTTCAGTCTTGCAGGTCTGGAGGGTTCTTGGGGTTGCTGGAAAGCAGAACGTGTTCTTAAACCCCAGGAATCTATGAGAGCGCTGTCTCTTTACATATCCAAAATAGTCAAGCTGCTCTCTAACATTCAAAATGGTGGTGCCCTCCGGACTGGCAAAAGTCCACAGCTCAGTGCACCTTTCTTTTCACCTTCTCTGTTTATTCCCCAGCGACCATGCACAGTCTTCCATACATTCTCTGGCTAGCAAGGTGATTTTTAGGTTAATTCTTAGGTCCTACCAGCACTTGGGAATCTCCAAGCTGTCTGTGCTGTCAGGATTGCTCAAGATCGCTGCCAGACTGCAGCTCCATATGTCTACTTTTCTCGTATTTTCACGCAAATTCTTCTGCTAGTTGGGGTTTAGTCCACTTCTATATCCTTCCCTTCAAGGCTCAGGGGTCCAGGATTATCTTCTGTGTCTGTGTTTATTGGTTTCCCTTTTCTTTGTTGAAGAGGGTCTGTGCAGTCTTTCTGCCTAATCTGCCATGTTGCCGGAAATTGAAAAGTGACTTTTTGTCTTATGCTTAATTAGGAATAATATTTAATATCATCTGAATCTTAAATATCTTTAAATATAGATCAGATAATGTTATTTTCCTGCACTCAGCCTCTAATCACACTTGTGATCATATTAGAAATCCTTTGCATGGTTCACAAAAGTCTACTGAATCTAGCTAGCCATTGACTTACTGTTCTGACTTGATGTACACCCCTGCCCCCACCCCCACCACTCTTTTTTCACTAGAATATGAGCTCCATGTTGTTGTTGTTGTTATGTGGCATCGAATTGGACCCGACTCATAGTGACCCCTCCTTGAGTTTCCAAGGCAGTATCACTACAGAAGTAGAATTGCCCAACCTTCCTTCTGAGGAGTGGCTGGTGGGTTTGAACCGCCAGCCTTCTGGTTAGCAGTCAAGTGCCTTAGGCACTATGCTACCAGAGGTCCATTAGCTTGATATAAGCAGGTTATTTGTGTTTTTCACTTCTGTAGGCCCAGTACATGGAGCAGTATCGCCTGTAAATATGAGCAAATAAATGGACCAGCTCTTAGGAGATTAGGTTGGTAGCATAGTGCCTAATGCATTTGACTGCTAACCAGTAGGCTGACTGTTCAAACCCACCAACCACTCATCAGAAGGAAGGTTGGACAATCTACTTCTGTATTGATACCACCTCAGAAATCCAAGGAGGGGTCACTTTGAGTCGGATCCAACTCAATGGCAGTGCATTTGGTTTTTTGAATCCTAGACTATTCCCTGAAAATTGATTTGATCTTTTAAAGAAAAACCCTTTCTGATTTTACCTCATTCTCTAAAGCTAAGAATGTGGGAAAATGTTAGCTAAATTCTAGGACCAAAATACTAGCAATAATACTAATTATAAAATTATGATTAAAATTGTTTTGGTTTTTCAGGAAAACATTTGGTAAATATATTGTTATTTGGTATCTCTTGAAAATGTCAAATGTCAATTTGGTTTGAAAGTGCCAGACTCACCATAACAAAGGCTTAGTGTATTTATTTGCCTTTTTATTTCTGGTGGCTGAAATTTCTACACCCAGACCTCCATTCCAGTTTCTCAGTTTGAAGTCCTGAAAGTGCCTTGAGTTTTTTTTAGATCAATGTAGAGCTTAGGATTTGTGTCAGGGAGGTATTTGCTCTCATATAGCAAATTGCTTTTAGCTCTTAAGTTCTGTTGCTGATTCCATGTTTGGAATCACTATGATGTGTTTTTGGGGTAAAAACAATGACTCGAGGCTTGGATAAACTTACTGGTATTTCTCTCAATAGAAATGGATTCTCCAGGGATGATGTGTGGTATCTGTACTGGTATTCATTTTGTCATACCAGAACAAGATTAGCCTTCAAGGAAGGGTGATACATATTTTACCAGGCAGTGTATACTTGGCTTTGAGAATAAATGCATTGAATCATAAGAAAGCATGAAAATGAGAAATTATCAAAAGAAAACGAAGAATGCTTATGTGTACTTATTTATTTGCAAGAATATGAAGATGAGTTGTTGTCCTGCATTCTTGGTACCAGTTTATTTTTGTGATTTTAAGATTGTTATGTTTATATGACATATACTGGCATAGTAAAACTGTTTGACTTTGTTCTTTGATGGTTAATATTTTATCTCATTTTTCATCTCTGTTCTGCAGAATCATAGAGCAGTCCAGCAATGTGGAGATAGCATCTTTTCCAATCTATAAGGTGTTATTCTGTGCACGTGGACATGATGGGACAACAGAGAGTGATTGCTTTGCATTTACAGAGAGTTCCCATGGTTCAGAAGAATTTCAGATACATGTTTTCTCCTGTGAAATTAAAGAGGCAGTAAGTATAATATATATATACTTAAGAGTGTGTAGAGATGAGTTAGGGAAATATTTTCAACCCTAATCTCACTGTCTCATAAATTAGTGTGTATGACCATATACCACATTACATACATTAGGAGTATGCTTCTAGAGAGAAAGTTATTATTTGTAATGGCATAGAATGAAATACGAAAAACTGGGTCTAATACGTTTTTGCATTAAAGTGATATTGTCAGTGGGGCACTGCTTGAATAATTTCTTTTAGAAACATCAGCACAAGACTGATCCCTATGAGGCAGAAGTTAAAGATGTCCCAAATGTCCAACTTCTATTCCATCATCTCTGACATCAACTCTTCCTTCTCCCCTCAATAATCTCCCTCCCATCTTAGGGTTCCATTGTTCAGTGTAAGGCCTCACAGAACTCACAAACCCCCAAGGAAATGGCTCACAGGCTGGGAGGCTGACAGGCTGGCAAGTTCCAGGTCTGTGGGTAGGTCTGGAGGAGTCTCCCAGCTCATGTGGTTGCAGGGGTTGGTCAACCCAAATTGGTAGGTCATATGATGGCTGCTGTCTCAAATCCAGGGGTGAGATGATGACGAACCAATTGCAGAACTAGAGCAAGACAGAGCGAACTTCCCAGAACATTGCTATGTATAGACCCTCACGGAAGGAAGCTAAGGGTGGTGACTGGAGTCACACTCTCCAGCAAGGAGGGACTCAAGAAGCATCCTATCCTAAACAGGCATACAGATTAGGATTTACAATATATCACAAAATGGAGAACTGTAGCTAGAAGGGCCATATTAAGCAATCCACTGTACTGCAGGCACGTCATATTTTAGTGGGTATGTTAGAAAAATACTGCTTGATGAGCTAGTTGTCTTTCTGTGATAATTATTGTTAAGGTTCAGAAAGGCGGATTGTTAAGGTTCAGAAAGGAGGATTTTTTTTTTTTTTAACTTCTTTTATTATTTTTCCCAAGCAGATTGGTTCATGTGATTTTTAAAAGTGCCTAGAAAATACCTGTTTCTCTACTTGGCTTCATAGTGCCTATTGCTTTCACTAAGATTCACCACTTAGATCATTTCATAGATTTCTGTGATTTTTACCAGTGATTATTTATTATGTACTTTCACTCAGAGGCTGGCTTTGCTCTGGAGAACATGGCTAATTAGAACTCCAAATGCTCTTAGATAGCAGGAATATCAGAGGTAGTCTTTTGAAGAAGCTTAGTAAGTTGTTCTCATTAATTGCTATCTGTTGGTTTATTTTTAGAGTGGACGAGTAGTTGAGATTCAAAGCATATGAGGAAATCACTTATTTTTTCCCCTATTCCTATCTAATTCTCCCCAAACAAAAACTAAGTTAACACTATTGGGACTTTAGTGCTTGCAAACATTTCAAAGGTATTAAATAACCGAGTTTGAATGGGTAAGCTCTTAGTTGTATTTGATTTTGGAAATATAAATTGTCGGCAGAAAGTGCAGGAAGGCAGCAATTATTCTAGTCTCTGTTTACCCTGACACATGAGTAAGCCATTGTATTAACAGGAGTTCTGGAAACTTGTTTCTGGCTACAAAATTGAAACTTACGGGATTGTTTATTTCTGAGTGTTTGATTCTAAGTTTAAGGAGTATGTCAGGTCTTATGCCTGGTGATCTCTTTGTTTTACACTAAAATGAATATGTGTACACACACACACACACTCTCACAGTTTGTACATGCATTTTGGTTGGTAACCATAGAAGTTCTTTGTTAGAATTTATGCCTTGCGTTTGAAGTTCCAAATTTGATTTTCTGTTTGTTTAAATAGGTCCTAATCTATTTCATCCTAATATTAAATAAATAAATATATTAAAAAAAAGTTAACTGGCTTCTTGGTTAAAAAGGTGGGTGTGATAGATAGGAGAGTGAGTGAGTATAAGTATGCTAGCGTGCATGGCATCTAGTGGGCAGTGAATATAAATATACTGAAAGAATATATGTGTGGTATGTGTGTGTATATGTGTTTGTGTGTGTGTGTTAGTATGAGTGAGGGAGGCTATTTCTGATCCTTACAAACTCCACTGCAGAGGTGGGGAAGCATATGGGAGAGTCCTGGCATTTCATATTGGCAGCCATCGGTTAAGACATCTGTGTGATTTCTGGATCATTGGACTAGAACAGCAAGGACAAGCACTTTGAAGAACTGGAGAACTTCTGCTTGGAGAGGTAGAAACACTGCTGCAGAAGGAAGTTGAGAGGGACCTGGCTGCAAGCATTATCCATAACTTTGATGGTATGAAGCCTTCTCTTTTTGGGTTACAACATTCCCTTGTTTATGGGTGGGGTTAATGTTTATCATTTTTGAGAGGTTTAACAGTGAGTAAGCAGTGGGCAAGATTATGGGAAATTCTTTGACTATTTTAGATACAGTATCAGGTAGCATTAATTGTACTTCTAGAGAGCATATTTGGTGCATTGCAGATTGTGAGAAAGAGATGTCTATTATTTAATTTTTAGAGTACATTTTCAAAGTGTTACATTATGGGATATTGGTGCTAAAATTTGTAGTTTAAAGAAGAAATACATGACGATTGTCATTAAATCTTATAATGAGAGATTATTCCTAAATTAAGAATCACCAAAACCCAAACATACCAGTTGCCATTGAGTAGATTCTGACTTGTGGTGACCCCATGTTGCAGAGTAGAACTATACTCCACAGCGTTTTTAAAGTTGTGACCATTTGGATGCAGACCAGCAGGACTTTTTCTTCTGAAATGCCTCTAGGTGGGTTCATGCCATCATCCTTTTGGTGCTTAACCATTTGTACCACCCAGGGAACCAAATGAAGAATTAAAGAAAACTCACTGCCTTTGAGTCAATCCTGACTTAACAACAACCCCATGTGTTACAGAGTAGAACTGCTCTATAGGGTTTTCTTGACTGTAATCTTTATGGAAGCAGATCACCAGATCTTTCTTTTGTGATGCCTGTGGGTGGGTTCAAACTGCCAATCTTTAGGTTAGTAGTTGAATGCAAATTGTTTGTGTTACCCGACAGACCAAACCCATTACTGTCCACTTGAATCAAATTTACAGAGATTGGGTAGAACTGCCCCATAGGGTTTCCAAGACTGTAATCTTTACGGGAGGAGACCACCACATCTTTCTCCCACAGAGCAGCTGATGGCTTTAAACCACCAACCTTTTGGTTAGCAGCTAAGCCCTTAACCACTCTGCCACCAGGGCTTCTTGTATCACCTAAACACTGCTATAAATGAAGAATAAATAGCCCAGAATAAATATAGAGCTTCTGCCACGTACTGTGCTAAACATATGTTGGATGTTCATAACATCTCTGTAACATACATATTATTTATTTAGATGAATAACTTTATTTTCTTGTGTTCTTGGTAAGTCCTAGTTTATCCTGTAGGCTAGGTATGTTAACAGCACTGCCTTTTATTCTCAAAAGTATTCTGGCTTGGATGATAAATTGTATGGACACCTTTTGTTTATCATAAGGCTAAGAATACATGATAGAGCTGGGTTTCAAACTGAAATGTCTGCCTCCAGAGCCTCCGAAGACCCATGTAGTTTTCAGTAACTACTTTTCTGTTGCTTCAATATAAAAATCAAATGTGATTTTTTTTTCAATTATGTTTTATAAAGGAATTTATCATCTACATATCTTGCATTCTAGCTACCATTCCTGTTTTACCCTTGCTTTTTACAGAAGCTTTCTCCCCTCAAAAAAAAAAAAAAATAATCCCTTTCAGTTAATTTGAAGGGTTTTAGTTACATTTATTGATGATCTTGTTATATGGTCCCAGATGTTCTCTGTTCTGTGGTGAAGGGACAACTTTCATCTTTAGTATTTGAGTTCCCCTTTGTGGGCACAAGGAAATTCACATATGGCTCAGGCACAGATGAAAGATATTCTTACTGTCAATTCTTAAGTATTTAATTCTTTAAGTATGACTGCAGTACTACCACTGATTTGTTTTCCATTATTTTGCAGAATCCCTGAATAAAACCTGAAGAGATCTGGCAGTTAAAGGAAGGAAGCTGCCTTCTCAAGAAGAGGCAGCAGCATGGCTACCACTTCCAGCTGTTCCTGCGATGCGCTTATATCACCCTAAACCCTGTAAGAAGCAGCTACCATGTCATAAAAGAGAAGATCAGTGAGGATGATGGCTCTGTTCAACACCTGTGAAACAAGGATTAGGTGTATCCCACAGAAGGGTTAGAATGCATTTGACTTGTTACCTTGGACTTTATAAAGAAGAATAAATCTCCCAAAAGAGTTGGGGAAACCATTCAGGAGTATCTTGATGCTAGTTATCTTTGTAGAGGGGAATGAGTGCTAGGCTTCTACTGAAGAATGTTTTACCAAAGCAAAATAACAGAAAGCATAGTAAAACTAGTCAAGAAGGCATTAGTTCTTTGTTGAATCTTTATGGATATATTATGCAAAACTTTTTTTTTTAATGAAGTTTTGAAAGGGTTAGTTGACTTTCTGTAAGATTTTAATTCTATTAGCTATTTCTTCAAAGTAGATTTTCATGTTTGTTTTAAAATATTTGTCGTTATTACTAGCAATTCTCAGTGTTATATTTTAGAAGCATACTTTTAATCATCTGGTAGAAAAGGCATTCAGAGGTATTTAATGATAAATATCGAGGGTGTTGCTGGGACGATCTTTATCCTTAATGCACTGGTTTCTCTTCGGATTGCTGATATGCTGCTATATGAAAGAAAATCTTATTCCTTGCATAAGGAAAATATTATTTCTGAACAGATATTAGATAGTATTTTTACAGAACACCTTATTTTGGAAGCTAATTCAGAAGTTGTTTTGTTAGAGTTTCCATAGATAAATTGATTTTTATAATATGAAAAATCTTAGGTAATATACTTCTTATTTTAGCTCCTTTCAATGAGTAACATATTTGAGCAAGTTATTTTTAAATTTTTAACACATACCATTCAGGATGCCTTTCAGGAATGACTTTTCTACATATACTTCTTAGATGAACATTTTTGGGAACATGGTGTTTCTAAAAGTTGGATTCTCTTTCATCAATATAATTGAAAAGCCTTTATATTGAAAAAGTTACCATGAAATGTAATTTAATGCAAACCTTTGTTCTTTAATAGCACTTTTGAGACTGTTAACATGTAATGAATATTTGACAATTTGGAAAATACTGAAATAAAGAAGAAAATAAAAGCTACTTAAAATTCCACTGAAGTTAAGGCTTTGGTATTTCTTCTAGATATCTGCATGTTCCTTTTTCCCCACCTCTTAAAAAAAAAAAAAAGAAAAGAAAAGAAGCCAAATATACAGTTGTATATTGAATTTAGTGCTGTCAGTATTGTTTTCTGGGGAAAATTGTACTGTATTATTTGTCAATAAACCCTTGCCTTTTACAAAGTGCCTGCTTTAGATTGTTTATTCTGTTTTTAATAGTTTGACATGTGTAAAAATGTTTGACATGGTATATGTTTTAATACCCTTTTCATAATGTACTTAGTTACCTAATGGATTCCAAGAATTGTAGATACTGATAATCATTATTTCTGAAGTTACTCTACCTTGAAATTTATAACTTCTTTTGTGACTTTACGTTAGTCCAACATCTTTATTACTTTATTTTAAATGCTAGATGTGAAAGAAACAAAATGCAAGGATATTTAAAAGGTTACTTTGTTTTAAGTAAAAGGAAAGAATTCTCTCAGAGGGAAGCTATCATTCCTTGACATGAATACATTTGGGTATATTTTTGTAGCCCAGTCAGGCACATACACATGTATTTCATTGAGCTTGGTTCTCTTCTTTCTTTACTACTCAGTGATGGTAAGTACTTAATAGTAGGGAATTAGTCAAAACAATGTTAGGAGACAGTTCACTGAAAAAGGCCTTATTTAAGAATTTTAGTCCTAGTTCAGTCACTTTATAGCTATGTGATGTCTGGGAAGTTTTTAATCTCCATTATATGCATCTATAAAAAAGTATTATAAATACCTTCTAGGCTTGCTTTATACTGTTGGAAGATCAATAAGATAATATATATAAATGGAGTTTGTAAACTAAAAAGCTATGTACATGTAAAGAATCATATTGAGTGATTACAGTAAATAACATTCAAGTTTCCTAAGAAAGGAATAACTCGTGTTTTGTATGTTGCATAGAAGGCGCTGGCTCTCTGTGTTCAGGAGGGAAATTACCATAACAACAAACATTGTTTGGTCTATAGAGTAAAAATTTCCTGACAAATGTTATGCATGCTATAGCTAAATAAATCTAAGCATAACTAGGTTAGAAAGGCAGTTTCTTTGAAGGAAATCTTCTTTTCATTAGCAATCATCCAAGAAATGTTTTCAAAGACAAATTTTAGTAATGATGAAGTGAGCTCTGGTGTGTTTTTCTAGTGAAAAAGGTTCTGAGTCACTGCTGGAGGCACCAACTTACTGTGTCTTCTGGGTAGTTCTCATCTACCTGCTTTCCTTCAGTTTCAGGATACCCAGATCCTCAGTCACAGCTCTTCAATCTTTTGTGGTCTCTGGTATTTATATTCATTATAGTATTAGACTTGGATGGGAGCTCCGGGAGCATAGTGTCTAAGGCACTTGACTGCTAACCAGAAGGCTGGCTGTTCAAACCCATCAGCCACTCCTCAGAAGGAAGAGGGGGCAATCTACTTCCATAGTGATACTGCCTCGGAAACCCAAGGAGGGGTTGCTATGAGTCGGGTCCAACTCGACGGCACATAACAACAACAGCATTAGACTTGGCAGTGTGTACTGTTGAAATTTTTCTGTTTAAGTTTGAAAACAGACCTCACCTTTGAACTGAAGTTTCTGTAAAATGAAGTGATACCATACTATTAATTTCATAAAAAAAAAATTTGTGAAATCATTTTATCTTTGGGAGGTTACATTTAGCAATATTTCCCCTCTTGGACGTCACACTGATTATAGTTTTAGGCTGTAATAATTTAGAATTAAAATGATCTATAGTTTGTACTATGCATATGGTCGTCCACTCATCTATAATGCATAAGTGTTGAAAATCATGTCATGCAATAGCTAAGCAACTGATAGATACATAGACTAAATCTGCTTTATCTGTGAAAGAAAATTGTGGCCATGGAAAGGCACAGATTCAAGAATTAGTAGGAAGAGGTATCAGAATGCAGTTAAAACCGTTGGCTAATGGTATTTCCATTTTTATTCTTTTAGGTAAGCAGAATTTTATATAGTTTCTGTACAGCATTCAAACGTTCTTCTAGACAAGTATCTGATGTTAAAGACTTGGTTATTCCTACCCCTGACAGTGATGTGTTTACCTTCAGTGTTTCATTGGAGGTAAAAGAAGATGATGGAAAAGGAAACTTTAGGTGAGGATCTTTTGGAAAGAATAAAAATTTGGCATTATGCCTGAAATATAATACTGGCTAATATGAAGTTTCTAGAAACTATATCATGTTGACATAAAGCTTTAAATTGATAAAGAAATATTTGGTTGGTGAGTGACTATGTTTTACTTTGTTTCTCAGGCCCTTCAGATATTTAATGAATTTCTAAATGAGTCTAAAAGTAATGACTTTTATTGTAGAAAATTTGGCAAAACAAAGTAAAATAAAAGGACAATCCTACCATTTTAGTTTATTTTTCATTTCTAGGAATATTTTTGCTATTTTAATATTTTAAAATTGAAGAGGAGAGTAATAATGCTTTCTCTCTGCTTAAATAAGTTAGCTGCAACTAGTTCATTGAAAATCTCAATTGATGGGGGAAGTAAACAATTTTATAAACAGTTGTGTATATTTGGAAATGATTGTATATATATATAGCTTTTTTTCTCTTAACATAGTAAGAATTTCTCCTGAAAGGATCTTAATCAAAATAATTTAATAGTATATTAGGCATCTGGGTGGTACAAATGGTTTGCTCTTGACTACTATTCTAAAGTTGGCAGTTCAAACCCCCCCCCCCCCCCACCCCCCGCCAGGGCCAGGCCTTGGGGCC